CCCCATTCGCCCCCTCTCCCCAGAGGGCAGCCTGCGGCAAGTGCAGCCGGTCTGATGGCCGAGTGCTGTGATGTGCCCAGTGCGGGTAGTCCGGGCACTCCAAGCCAGGACTGCTTTGCATGCCGGGCACCCCTGAGAACTGTCTTTCCGGGGTGGGGGTTGGGACCCTTTAAGCGCAGCCCTCGGCTAGCCTGAGACAGCAGCTCCACGCTCTAAGTCCTCCTCTGATGCCCTGCCGGCACTGCTTCCGGCCATCCTTAACCCCGGTTCACGGTCCACTTAATGTGGACATGCTAGTTCGAATTAGCAAAACGCTAATTCAAACTAGTTTTTAGTTCTAGATGCGTTAAAACAAAAAGGTAATGAAGTTTGCCTACTATTCATAACTGTAGAAACCCTGGCATGTCTCTTTCTGATCGAAGTACATCAATAGCAGTAATTAATACAATGGGATCTGAAATGTATTTTGTACATGGCAAGAGAATACATATTTGATACAATCAAAGCTATGTTCTCCTGGAGATTTGAAGCACTGATGATTTTCCCCTTCACTTCTACTTCCATGACATGCCTTCTCTTAATTATTGCATCTACCATTGAGCACTACTAATGTCAAGGATATGTTGGTGACATTGCCGTAAAACCTTCCTGGAACTCAGCCAAACAGAGTGTTACAGAGTGCTAAAGGATCTTTGCAAAAGGATCTAGATTTGTTCCTTTTGGTTCTTTGCCTCTCTGTCAGCCTTAGGTAGAAATTAGATCATTTTTACAACTCTGAACTGAAATGGATTTTCCAAAATCATCATCAGAGTTCACTGGGTCTGCTCCTGTGAGTAAAGATACATCACGCATGTTTGCCAGGGTGCCTTTAAGTCATTCTTCCTTTTCTTTTACTTTCTTCTTTACTGTTCTACTTTTTCTTTCATGTTTTATTTTCCTTGCCTTTTTTCATTTCTGTGTTTTGTTATTTAATACTCACCTTTCCTCATTGTTTATATCCTCCTATTACTCTCTCTCTCTCGTAAGATTTCATTGTCCTTTCGCTGGTTTCTTTCCTTTAGGGTTGCATATATTTGTTTTTTTCCCCTCTATTTTCTTCCTTCATCTCCCTTCTCTCCATCACTATCACCTCACTTTATTTGACTGAATTTCCCTTTGTAGTTATACAAGCGCATATATGACTTCATACCAACATAATTGACAGGGACAAGCTACCTCTGCGTCCTCTGTTCAGGGTCTATGAAAGTAATTGCAACCCCTTAGAGCAAGCCGGGACAATCCTAACTACCTGACTTGTTGCAATAGTCCGTACTTGCTATCGCAGGGTCACAGTGTGATGACAGTTCAGGTCTGCCCCACTAAGCCCTAATCCACCCTCTGCTTTCTCCGGCTCATATTTCCTGCACTTCCACTCTAATAACATTCCTATGAGGGTGTTGTGAAGATGGCATAGAGCTGGCTATGCCAACATCAGGGGTGTTCTGCATGGGGGTATTCCTCAGGAGACTTTTAGCTTTCCTAAGCAGTAAAAAGGGCTTTAATGCAAGATAATCTGCCCAGAGAATTTTAGTGGCTTACCCAAGGGCACATAGGATTTCTGCTTTGGAGCTAGATAAAGACTCCTGACTCCGAGTTCCATACCTTAACTAGAGGGCCACTCTTTGGATAGCATCAGATAGCCAACAGAATTCCCTCCTACAAGACATCAGATTGTGCTTGTGGCAGAGGTTATGCATCATCTTGTTGGAGCTGAATGCCCACGCAGTAATCCTGCAGCCTGCACTGACCCCAATTTGGCTGAATGAAGGGTTGATGCTGAGTGATGTGAAGCACTTCTGGCTGAGGAACTATGAAGAACTCTGCTGAATTTCCATCTTGGTTATGTTCTTGAATGACATTGTGACAGAATAGGACTAACACTGCAATCTCCCGCAATGCATGCAGAATTCTGCCACTGAATAACTTTGTGGTGTTGTAATAACCCTAATTTTTTTCTGTATATCCACTTCGGGTGGAAGATGTACGTTAGCATGAATAGACTCTGAATTTATGGATTTAATAGGTGAAATGAGTTGGGGCACCATTTCTTTGAATGTGCCAGCCATATTAGCTAAAATCTTTTTTTGGCTGTTATTAAATCTTAAGCCCTAATTTTAATTGACTTGCCACTAAGGTCTTAAATCCATAGACAGTGAGTTCTAGAGAAACCAGGTTAGAGAGGGAAGCAGGAAGTGAGTTGGCAGGATGCCAGGGGAGCCAATGAAAACAGAAGCAGCCGCCATTCCTGAAATGAGGAAGGCCTCCTGGAAAGACATGTAAGAAATTAGGGAGCCAGGCATGGAGAATCCAGTGACATCCATACTGAGGGAAGGACTAAGTCTTAAAACTACAGATAGATGAGGAGAATAGAGAACGTTCAGTCAGATGCACTCAGATTTATTCTTTATTTGTGAGTTTGTTGGCCTTCTCTGTGCTGTGCACATCTAACTTCCTCATTATACTGTAATTTTCCGAGATGAATCCCAGGGAAGCAATTATTTGTGTTTTTAATCCAGTTCTCACTTGCTCAGTAACACTCAGCAATTTTACCAAATGTGGGTGTTTTACATAAAAATCACCCTTTTAAGAACATGATCTGATTCCTGTGTCCTAGAAGGTGGGAGGTTCTGTGTGCACATGTCTAAGGTTAAATCAACACTGCCACATTATTATGGTACAAATTTCTGGCTCAGTGTGAAAAAACACTGCCACCTTATCCAGCAAAGTAAGTTACAATGCTGTAAAATGTCAGTGTAAATGGTCTCCCATGCTCCCAGTACTGTTAGCCCTCCCCTTGCTCTCTGTGAACCACCACCAAAAAGGGAGTAGCTATCTCTCAGCACTCCTTCCACAGCTACCCTTTTACTTGAAAGTGTTGCAGTGGCTGTGCTTTAATTTTAGAAATGTAGACGAAGCCTATGACTGCCCAGTCATACTAAGAGAAATTAAAGTTCCATTTTCATCTTCTCAGCAGCCAGGTTTCAATCTCTCTTCAGAGGAAGGCATAAAAGACATTCAGGGTAGCTCACAAGAAGGAATTCCCAAGTACATCTTCTTTGGTTCTCAAAAGATGTTTTGCATTTGGATGGTGGCAGCAATACCAATCTAAGGCCAGGGAATCTGTAACTTGGGGGAGTTTTAACAAGTCTTTAGGGGCCAGATATTTAAAGTCTTTTGCAGCCCCCACATTCTGCACTCAAAGTGCAAGAGTGCAGAAACAGCCTTGATGGTTTATTACAAGGCATAAACAATATATAAAAATGAATATATAAAAAACAGTAACTTAACAGAGACATGTCCACATTTATAGCATTTAGCTTTTCTTACTTTGCCTCTCCTGTTTTAAAACTAGGGACGTTATCATGAAAACAATGTTTTTCCTTTAGAGTTCATCTGCTCCTGCTGTCTAATCCCCTCATTAAGTCATGGGCCTGTTTGTGACATCACATTAGTTGCTTTGGAAATAGTGATTTTTTTATACCCCTTTGTAGGATCACACTCACTCAAGTTGCATAAAGGGGAAATAAGGGTTTTTTGCAGGGTCCTTGTGATATTCGACTTACTTGTATGTTCGTGCTTCAGTGAATTCCTGGATCAGAGTGACTTCATTAAAAGGCTGCAGACATCTCTTTCTTAAGGTAAGCCTTCTTTTGATTTGATCCACATGGGCAAACAAACTTGTGCAGAGGTCCCCTGAAACCAACAAGATCCTGTAGCGACCAAGGCCCCCCTCACACAGATCATTTTGGAGAATCTGACCTGTTTTTAACTCACCACAGTTACCCCATTCTCACTCTTTGGAAGGATGTTCTAGAGCAGAAGTTCTCAAACTCTGGGTCAGGATTCCAAGGTGGGTCCCAATCCTGTTTTAATGGAGTCACCAGGGCTAGCTTAGACTGGTAGGGGTCAACGCCAAAGCCCAAGGGTTTTAGTCCTGGGCAGAGAGGCTTAGGGGGGGGGGGGGGATAAAATCCATTGAATAATTGGGAGATGCTTGCATATTACAGTAATAAATACTACGCTAGTTTGTCGGGGAAGGAAAGATGTCAGAGGAGTGAATACTTTCTTGAGCCAAGAGGCCTCTCCTGAAAATAGGAGGCCATTCATTCAGCTCTCACAGACTTGCACTCATGTAACCCACCCTTGGTGTGTGTAGGTCTCTGACTGAATTTCTCAATATAGTGTAAACCTACTCAGGAACTTTCTCCAGATTTGGGAAGGGATTTTTTTCCAACTTGACAAATTTGACCGATTGCATCTTGAAGGTCTGCTATTCTGTTAGGAAGGAGAAAAGGAAAAATAAATCCTCCCCCCCAAAAAAACCCCCATCCCACCCAAATTGTTACTGCATATGCAGTAGGTGTCTAGTTTGAAGTAGAAAGAGGAATGAGTTACAAGACACTGAAGTAAACCCAATCACAGGACCCAGGAGGGACTGGGACTATTTAGAATGACTGTTCACAAGCAATAGTCTTATTAAGCAAAGGCCTTGAAATTAGTTGTCCCCAAAAGTAAAATCTTGTATTTTAAAATCGAATCTAAATGTGAAATGTTAGCATATCTAACCTAAACATTGTGAGCTTATGTTCAGTAGACAGGTTCACTGACCCCTCTGCATGCTATCGAACTTTTGAATTTCTAATCTCCTGTTGTACTTTATCATAAAGCAAGAGTGAAAATGATTAAATTAGATGATGTGCGCATCTACTCCTTGCTACTGTCTAACTAAATATCAACTCCCTCCTTTAAAAAAATCCTGTACAGTTTTTAAAGTTCTCCTTTGATCCTTGCCTGTCCATTATTCTTGAATGAAGTCTGGGGGGTTTTTTTACCAGCATTTGTGCAGTAATTTTTACTGAGATTTATTAATCAGGAGTATACTTTGATCTTTTCTTTACATGTCCATACGTCTCAGCTTCAAACAGTAAAAAGTCCTGTGAGCCTTAATAGCAAAGCAACAGGAGAAGGAGAGGAGAAAAGGGACACGTTGGTTATTTTACTTGTGACATTAGAAAAGATCAGAAGTTCAAAGTTTAAATATATTGGTGTATCAGCCACAATTATTAAATATCTATATTTCCCATGGAGGCTAAGAAGGGGTTGGGATTAGGTATAAAGGGTTTGATTCTGTCACAAAACAAAACAAAGGACTACAGTGCTACAATAAAATCCTATGGAGTAACTCTCTGTGGGTATGTCTACACTACCCTCCTAGTTCGAACTAGGAGGGTAGTGTAGACATACCCTAACTCTGCCATAGAATCCAGCCATTTGCAAGTGTAGAACTGTCACTTAAAATACAATGCCTAGCCTTGCATTAAAGGTCTCAAGTGGTAGAGGCATCCATCATTTTCTTTGGGAGACAGTTTCTCAATTGGATTGATTTGTGCAGCAATCTTTAAAATTCGTCCTGTTGTTTATTTACTCAGTTTATTACATTTCACCCAGTGCTTGTTGTTATGGAATTACTGCACCCGCTCAACCAAATAGTCTTTCAGTCAGAGACCATCAAGTAGCCCGAAGGAGTTAGGAGTTCAACACCTACTGAATTTCAGTGGATTTAGATGCCTAACTCCCTTAGTAGTCTTTGAAAATGCCAGGGTAAAGGAACACACATAAGATCTACAGAGAGACATAATTAAAAGCCAGAGTAAATTCATTCATTAATCACAGTTATACCATATTCAGTTACGTCATTGTAAATAAATGTGTCTCAGTAGTTAGTGTTTAAGCCTTTTAGTTACTTCTAGATGGTTCTTGTTCCTCCTCCCCTTTAATCTTGTGATAACACATTGCTTTTAGGGCCCGATTCCTATCTCAACCAAGCTATTGGGAGTCTTTTCACTGATTTCAATGGGCTTTGGATCAACCCCTTAGTCTTTTTTACAAGTACATTAATAATTGTTGTTGCTGTTATTTTAATTCCCTCAAATTAATCTTTCTGGTATTTGGTATTCCCAGAACTGAATTTAGTATTCCAGGGATAGTCAATTCATTTTGTGTTGAAGGCAGTTCCACTATTCTGTTTCTCTTGTCATAGTGTCTTCAGGTGCTGCTTGTCTGATTATCAATGCCTGAAAAAGGTGATAAATCTGATGGAAGGTAAGAACTCCTTGTTTTGTTTCTAGGGGCCCAGATCCACAAAGGGACTTGGGCTTTGTCATGCTGACATGTAACTTTGCAGTGCCTGAAAAATTACTGGTGTGATCTGGTAGGCACATGGGCTTCCAGTGATAATGCCGGGGCTCAGATAGGTGCCTTAGTATGCACTCAACAAATCCCAGCATTCTAGGTGAGTCTCTGTGACGTAGTGGGGGTACTTGCTGGGCTGTGGTGACCTCTGCTGTCTGGAGCAAGACCCAGCAGGGAAAACCTCACTAGGCCAAGGTAATGCCAAACTTGTTGAACCAGTGGCCAGACACCCCCCATGGAGAGGAACAAAGGAAGGTGAATGCTGCCCTGGCTGTGGGGCAGGGCTGGAAGGGAGTGAGTTGGTGGCTGGCTGTCTGTGAGGATGGAGGAGACAGCCTAGGGAGAGGAGCTGGAGTTTAGGGGCCCAGTCTCCCCCCAACTCAAGGGGGCCTGAGGCATCCTAGCCCAGTTCTGTGACCAGACTACATCTGTGCTATGCTGTATCCTGGAGAGGCAATAAACTTCCTCTGTTCCACCGGCTGGTGCAGTCTGTTTGTGCCATTTCGGGGTGCAGGAGACGGGGAACCCCCAACGCGCCGTCACAGTCTCCCTAAGGTAGTCAATGCCAATGAGAGGAATGTACTCTAAGCCCTGCCCCCCAGGGAGATGAGATGTGCCTCAGTCTGGGTGACAGGGAGTTGTCTATCTCTGTGGTCCACAAACCCAGAAAATAGGTATTTGGCCATTCAGCATGCCTCTGGCCCTGCAGATGCTGCCTAACTCCACACTCAATGACTGGAGGGTGGGAGTAGGGAAGATAGAGGAGGAATTAAAACTGCCCAGGCTGCCTTATGTGGCATTTCCTGCTTCCGTGTTGTCAATTTGACAACCTTAATGTTCCTGTAATGTAGTTATTTGTGTGTAATTTTATTATTTATATTGTAGTAGTAACGCATATACCTCAGGACCCCTTTGTGCTTACATACTGTTCAGACACCTAGAAAATGAGGGTATGTCTACACTACAAAGTTAATTCGAACTAACGGACGTTAGTTCGAATTAACTTTGATAGGCACTACACTAGCGCTCCGCTAGTTCGAACTTAATTCGAACTAGCGGAGCGCTTAGTTCGAACTAGGTAAACCTCATTCTACGAGGACTAAGCCTAGTTCGAACTTACTAGTTCAAATTAAGGGGTGTGTAGCCCCTTAATTCGAACTAGTGGGAGGCTAGCCCTCCCCAGAGCCTTCCACAAACTTTGGGCAGGGACACCACTCCTACCCCCTGGCTAAGACTACTCCATGGACCCAACCTCCATGACTTGATCTCACTTCCCTTTCAACTCTGTTCTAGTTGTAGCCTTCACAGCCTCCTGCAGCAAGGAGTTCCACAGGTTAACTATTTGCTTTGTGAAGAAGAACAACTTTCTCTTACTAGTTTGAAGCCTGCTACCCATTCCTTTCCTTTGGTGTCCTCTAGTCCTTCTTTATGGGAACTCATGAAGAACTTTTCTGAATGCACCCTCTCCACCCAACCCCTGCTTTTAGAGACCTCTATCCTGTCCCCCCTCCGTCTCCTCTTTTCTAAGCTGAACAGTCCCAGTCTCTGTAGCCTTTCTTCATATGGGACCTGTTCCCAACCCGATCATGTTAGTTGCTCTCCCTTCTCCCAGCCTTTCTCTTCCCCTCTCCCACCTCCTTTTCCCAGTCTCCCCCAGTTTTTTTCAATAAAGACAGAGTCAATGTTGGAAGAAACGTTATCTTTATTTTGTACATCAAGAAGAAGGGGGGCTAGGGAAGGGCAAGTGGAAGGAGGTGAGGGAGGAATGGGGTATGCACCCCCGATGGGGAGAACTGGGCTGGCTCTACGGGCTTCTGGGGGTGGAAGCTCTCCTGCAGCCCCCCAATTGCTCCCTCTCCCCAGATGGCAGCCTGCGGCAAGTGCAGCTGGGCTGATGGCCGAGTGCTGTGATGTGCCCAGTGTGGGCACTCAGGGCACTCCAAGCCAGGACTGCTTTGCAAGCGGGGCACCCCTGAGAACTGTCTGTCCGGGGTAGGGGTTGGGTCCCTTTAAGCACAGCCCTTGGCTAGCCTGAGGCAGAAGCTCCACGCTCTAAGTCCTCATCTGATGCCCTGCCGGCACTGCTTGCGGCCATCCTTAACCCCGGTTCAGGGTCCTTAATGTGGACATGCTAGTTCGAATTAGCAAAACGCTAATTCGAACTAGTTTTTTAGTCTGGATGCGTTAGTTCGAATTAGCTTAGTTCAAATTAACTAATTCGAACTAAGTTAGTTCGAATCAGCGCTGTAGTGTAGACATACCCTGAATCTCTAATGCAAACCATGTTCTATCTACAATAAAAGACGTAACATGTGGGTGAGATGTGCAAGTAGGAAATAAGAGGTGGAAATAAGAATGATAATGGTATGTGTCCGTACAGACTAGATGGGTGCATAATCCGTAGCTGTGTACGCCAATCAGTAGTAGTATAACACTATTTCTTTCCAGTGTTCACATTCAACTTACAAGGCAGGCTGCAGTTTTTCAATGTAGCCATAACGGAGTAGGTATGTTTTATGTCTGTTTACAGGAAATATTTATAATTGGAGGCATCGTCAATTATGATAAATTTAAAATATCAATTTCTTGGTCAAATAAATCTGTTCTGCTTGAAGCCATTCCACTGTGTATAAATAGTCATACAACACTAGAACTAGAAGGGACCTCGACAGGTCATCGAGTCCAGTCCCCTGCCCTCACTGCAAGATCAAGCACTGTCTAGATAGTTAAATAAATAGGGTCCTAAACTTGGATTCCTCCCTATCTATTCCCCCCACCCCCAGTGTGTTCCTTACTCACCAATTTTGAATCACTCATATTCTTTCTTTAGAATAGTGATTATTCAGGTATTTTATACGAAGTGGAACAGCTTCAGTAGGAGAGTTTGGGACCTACTGGCCCTGTATTACCCTACAGCACAATGATTAGGGTAGTCATCTGGAGTGGAGAAGAGCCAAAAGCAAGTCTCTGGACCAATAACTCTTTATTCAAAGGGATATGATTTCAATTAAAGAGACAGAGGGACATGCTCTAGAATACCCCACTAGTTAGGTATTCTCTTACCACATGGGATGTTATGTTTGTGGTATCAGAGCTGTCCCTTGAGTATGGTGAGTTGGGATAACCTCTCAAAGCCCCACATTTTGGGAGACCCCATGCTTTGATGAACTAATGAGAAAGCAGGTGGAAAGGTGAGGCAGGAGGTAAGCAAAACTCTTACCAGAACCTCTCCCTCCACACCAGTGCCTCTGCCCCACCAATCAGCATTTTCCCCTCCCTCTCAGTGCTTACACCTGCTGTGAATTAGCTGTTTTACAGATCTGGAAGTGCTAGGGGAGAGTGTAGGAGGAGCAAAGGAGCAGCACACTCAAGGGAGGTGTTGGAACTAGGCAGGGAAGGGGCAGAGTAGGGGTGGGAAGAAGCAGGGTGGGGAGGCTTTGGGTAAAGGATGGAGGGGGGGTGGGACTTGAGCAGAGCCAAGGGGAGCACCGCCCAGCAGATTAGAAACTTGGCAACCCGTGTCCTGAGCTCCGCACCCCTGTAGGGATGGCTCTAGAACATGATATACACAGAGAAGTTAGATAAAAACAAATTCTCTTGCTGGAAGGTTGCAATGTAACACTATTTTATCTCAGAATTCAGAACCCTACCATACACAAGAATCCCAATACAGGGAGAGGCAAAGCAGTCTGCTCCCTAAAGCAGAAACACATCTTTCTCCACCTTGCTCTAGGCTTGCTGACTATATTTCGACTGAGGCTACACTCAAACTGCATGCTTCTGAAGAGCTCCTTAGCGTTCAAGCAGGACAGAAAAAAGTCCTGAGAATTATAAGTGATGACTTACACTTTTAATATGGTTTTCGGTTCACCACCTGGAAGATCTAAATTCAAATCCCTGCTCCACATTAGACAGAAGGGGAAAATAATTTAAAACAAACCATTTCATTTTGAGCTAAATCTTTAGTCTGTCTCAAAACAAAACTTTTGTTTGTTTGTTTTTTGAGTCAAAAATTTTCAAAAGTTTCCGTTTCACTCGACTCAATTTTTCTGGATGACTGGGAATTGATAGCAAACCAAAAAATCAGTTATTCTTCCAGCTCTCAATGCAAGGTTTTAGAGTGGAGCAAGAGAGTCACTAAGATTGGAAATGGCCATTTGTAAGGAAGAGTTGATGCTCCCTAAACAGTAGAAGCATCTTCCCCAATAATTTATTTGTATTGCTTTGAAACTATGTCCTCTCTCAACCATGCAACGGAGAGGTGGGAAGAAGGAACAAAACTGAGCTAAACTAGGCCACCCAGGAAGTGCCTCTACGCACCTCAGCAAAAACACTTTCCCAAAAATTCAGTCCAGTTTTAAAATTGGTTGGAGGGCTAGAATAGACAAATCAGAGTGTGTGTGTGTTTCTTTATAGCAACTTTAATTAAATCTCCTGAAAGCAGATTTAACTACACTGATGACTGGAGTTGTGTGCGTGCAATGGTTCCAACTGGTTTGAATTTGGGGGACTACTTTCCCCTCAGACAACTGCTGAAAGATGCAGTCCAGATGAAGTTTTTCTTGGCAGCTGGCAAAAGATGAAAGGAATGACTTTGAGTGAAGGTAGGAGAGGAAAGGTATATGGGATTGGTGATGGAAGAAGGGAGAGCTGGACAGCTTCTAAAATAAAATAAATCTATCAAACAAAAATGACTTGTGGGAGCAGAAAGACAGTAAAAGGAGAGAGAGACTCCTTTCCTGCATCATAATTGTTATTTCTGGAAATTTAGTAATATCTGTATCTGAATACTTAGGCCAGGATTTTCAAAACTGGGTCCCTAAAGTTGAGTTCTGAATCTAATGTGTGTGTGTGTAAATATGGATGTATGAACCATGTTTTGAAATTTTGGCCTTAGCATTTACATAAGTACCTCTTCATCCAAGAATGGAGTGTGAACAAATACTTTGCAGAATTAAGGCCCTAAATGGCACCTACAGAAGTTACTGCTCTGTAAATCAGGTCACTATGCTTTCAGAAAGGGGCATTCATTTTGTATCAATTCAGGGGCATTCATTTTGTATCAATTGTCCATTATTTTGTATCAATTCAGTACCAAGCAAGGTTTATAATATTACCTTGGGCTCAGAAAAAGGTGATCTAAATCTTATGTTTTTGCTATCTATGATTAGCATAGAAAGAAAAATGTCATTAAAATACTTGTCACTAATCCAGATTATTTTGTGGTGTTTCAGTGAACGCTTTCAGACAGGCTGCTGCTATCTGATGTGGGGCTTGCTCTGGCTGTTCGTACTGGTCTTTTTTGCCTGGCCTTTAAGCATGGCTTTGGCAGGCCTCTATGGATTTGTCTCCCCTTTCATTACATTGGTGGGACTTGATGACGTTAGCGACGCCCTGCTGCAAGGAGTAAACGTGGGGAGACAGTGTGCTCAGAACGTCAGAAATGGCAAGCCCATGTGTTGAAGATGGCTCTCTGCCTGGCAAAGATTCCACTGCTCCCTCCATCAAATGTCATATCAAACCATTGCCTTCATGTGTGAGCCTCTTGTTTTTACTCTCTGAATTAAAGAGTTTTTATTTCAACGTAAAAGGCATTTGGCAATTTTTTCCCTCTGCATTTAATAATCTATGAAGGACACTGATTTAATACGACTGTTTCATAAGCTTACAGCAGGGGTTGTGATCTTTCATATCTATACAATGAGTAATGCTGACAGCCTTATCTCTGGAAATGCACAGTCTGAACTATTGACTGGGAGAGAGGACAGGGTCAGGACACTGTGGCCAGTCTGTGCATTAAGATGGTGTCTCTGTGGACTGAGGAATGGCTCAGTCTCACTGGAAACTAAACAGCCTCTATCCAACTAAAACTGCTTGTGCTCGTTAATTGGTGAAAAGGCATGGTCAGATACTTCACCCTGGGTAGAACTTGTTAGAATCCCCACTAGTGGTCAGGAGGAGAGGACTGAGTGCATCGGCAAGCAAGCAGAACATGACAAAGCATAAGCCAGGATGCCATCTTGGCAGCGCAGGCATGGTTTTTGTTTTTCAAGATTAGTTTCACCAACTTTGAGAGGTTCCTCCAGGCAGAATATTATGTTCCTCTGTCAATTGCACTTGGCTGTACTTCACCTGCATGCCTCCTTTCAATTGTCCACAGTCTCCTTTGGGTCAACATAGACCCCCCCCCCCCAGAACAACAAAAAAGTATCTAATTTTGTTCCCCAACACCACAATATCCAGAATGTGCATGTTTTTTCCTCCCTGTGAATAATTCTTAGAGAGAGAGGAAAAAGAGAGAGAGAGAGACTGGCTGTGTCTAGACTGGCCAGTTTTTCCAGAAAATCAGCCGCTTTTCCGGAAAAGCTTGCCAGCTGTCTACACTGGCTGCTTGAATTTCCACAAAAGCACTGACTTCCTACTGTAAGAAATCAGTGCTTTTGGCGGAAATACTATGCTGCTCCCATTCGGGTTTAAAACACCTAATGCAGGGCAAAACTTTTGCACAAAAGGCCAGTGTAGACAGCTGAGATTTGTTTTCCGCAAAAAAGCCGATTGCGAAAATGGCGATCAGGGCTTTTTTGTCGAAAAGCGCATCTAGATTGGCCACGGACGCTTTTCCGCAAAAAGTGCTTTTGCGGAAAAGCGTCTGTGCCAATCTAGACACTCTGTTCCGAAAATGCTTTTAACAGAAAACTTTTCCATTAAAAGCATTTCCGGAAAATCATGCCAGTCTAGACGTAGCCACTGTGTTTGCTAGATCAAACATCTTTTTTTGTTTCCCCCTACAAAAAAATTATACCACCATTGCTAGTTGTTAGGGCAATTTGTTACCCATAGAAATATAAAGTTATGATGGTCAAATGTTCCCTGGGGCTTCTGATGTACAGCAGGCCTGTAAAGGAGCAGAGAGGTGTCACCAATGATACAGATGAAGTCCCCTGAGGAATTGCTGCTGACTCACCCAGAATGCCTCCAGAGAATCCAAGGGACTACAAAAGCACTGCCACCATTTGAAAAGATGAAGTATGTGTAGACTCATTGTGCCTGTCCTCCTCAGTCAGTACAGAGTTTGGAGAATAAGAACCACCTTCAGTCCTCACTGCCCCCAATGGGGAGAACAGCACTGATGGGAACTGCACTCAGTGTCTGCACTCTCTGTGACTATAATGTGGTTGAGTAGATTACAAAAATCATTTGGGCTTCCTGATTTACTACATGTCCTTGTTCTCCTACAAACATATTTCCTCACATTTAAAAGGACCATTGGCTACATTTGTTGCTTCCATGTGTAGTGCTGTGCTAAGTATCTGAATCCAGGACATTCTGTGTTGCGGGTGATTGGTTTGGGGAGAGGGGAGGAGGTTCTTCTAAGAGCAAATGTGACTGGGTAGCTTTATTATCCAGTACAGCTTTGTAAAATACAGGAGGTAGATTTTATTGTTGAAACAACATTTTAGTTTTTTCTCATGAATTTTTCTTAGAAATCTTGTTAAAAGCTCTCAGAATTAACCTGTTTTTCTGATTGCAACTGATGGCAGAGCACAGCTGTTTTATTGATGTCAATATCCCTTGTTGGAAGAATAGTGACCTTTGAATAGATGCATATGCTTTCATTTCTAACTTTTTTTCAGAAGCCCCCTGGGTTTTCCGTATGTCTTGAATCTTTGCCTAATCTTGGGTTGCCACGTTTGGGACAGCTTCTGCTTGGGCTAGCCACAGAAAGCATTATAATGCTTACAAAACTCCTAACTATGCCTAAAGGCTGTTCTGAATGGAAAAGCCATATTGCCTGCATCCACCATTCTTGTTTCCTACTCAAGTCACTTTTAGCAGCTTTAATCCAAACACTAAAGTTGGACCCTTAAACAATTAAGAAGAACTTAAACTGCCCTGTTGATTTATTTTTAGATGTCACTGAATCTGGGCTGGTAGTTGGGATGCAGGAGGGGGTACAGATTTTAGGCTGGGGGCATGAGCTTTGGGGTAGGGGATGGGATGAGGGCTATGGGGTGCAGGAGGGTGCTCAGGGTGGGGAGTTAAGGTGGAACAGAGGGTTGGGGCTCAAACTTACCTGAGCTCCGTGCTAGGGATGGTGAGAAGGGGATCTTTTTCCCCAGCCATGGCAGTTATGTGCTGGGGCCAGCCCCCTTCCCTCTGGTCTCAGCAACTTCTTTGTGAGAGACATCTCTCCCTAGTTCAGCCCTGACCCCTATCCAGCACTTAAGGGTAAGCTACATGGCCTTACAGCTTAGGGGGAATCTGAGAGTGTTCAGTGTTTGTACTTTTAAATGGTGACCACAAGGGAAAAGGAGGCCCAGATCGCACCCTTTTCAGATACAATTAGCACTCATGATTGATTAACTTCCTAAACAATGATTGGGATGATTGATGATATGTAGCATGCAACAGAAATTGCTACATTTAATTTATGGTTTCATAGGTACAGGAAAGATGGAACATTTAACCCCATGATGGAAAAGAAGTTCTCAAAACCCTGGGCCACAGGCTTAGCACTACCTATTTATTGAATAAGATGGAGAAGAGCATATAACCACACTCTTCACATCTGGGACTGGACCAATCCCAAAATGAAATTGATAAACTGCTTGTATAACTGAGCAAATGCCCTAATAAATTTGTGAGTCTTTAGGGTGCCCCAGGACTCCTTGTTATTCTAATAATAAACAGCACATCCCCTAAATCTTCTAGTCAGAGCCCTGGCAATCAGTCACAAAACAGAAAGCAGAACTCTGTGTGCCATGTTAGAAAATATCTGAGCTACCTGTAGCATTCCATTGATTGAGAATCCATGCCCTTCTAAGGTCAGCCTGCTGCAGCCGATGGTGACGGAGGCATGGAGTGCTGTCAGATGTGTCCAAGCACCCGGTGTGTACCATATAGCACATACAGGTCAATAGCCTGTTTTGCCCTGGCAAGAAAGCCTCTTCATTCAAATATTCATTTGGACCCTTGAGATGCCAATAAAACTGTCTGAGGCTGCTTTTCACTGTAATTTTTCATTTAAGTTTAGGGTTCAGCATATTCTGTACAGACTGAATGAAAAGCTGAATGATTTCTTGAGTTTCTGTTCACTAAGAAAACATCAGGTGATGTAGGCAGAAACTATTCATCAGGGCTGATTAAAGCAAGACTTTTTTTATGACTTCTTTATAACCTTTTTACCACAGGGGCAGTAGGTGGGAAATATTTGCAAGCGTACTGAAACAGAGCATTCTGCTTATTGCTGAGCTCAAATCTGACCCAACTGTGTGGCCTTCTATAGGAAATAGGTTTTCTTATAATATTTTTACCGAAAGATGTCTGAAGGTGTCTACACTGTGAGGCTATTTCAGGATACTGGAGGTATTCCAAAATAGCTACCCTGCATCTTAACAAGCCACCTGTTATTTCAAAATATTTTTGAAATAACTGGCATGCTATTTTGGCATCCCTGAAACCCTCATTCCACAAGGGTTAAGAGATGTCTCAAAATAGTGCGTTATTTCAAAATTTGGCACAGTGTAGACACCAAATTTCAAAATAAGCTATTTTGACATAGAATTGAAATAAGATACACAATTTTTGTAGTGCAAATTGTGTATCTTATTTTGCATTTAGGGTGCTGTGTAGTTGTACCTTGAGGGAAGGCCAAAGTGTTCTGATTATCCACAGACCAGATATAGTAGAAGCAGTACAAGCTTTTCTATTATGCCCTGATAATATGACAACCCCTTACCTGGGTGGGACCCCTCTTGTGGGAAGTGGGTTTCAATATATTTTCATCATTGAAGTAAAACTCCAGAGAAATAAGTGATAAAATTAGTATTGATGGAACACATTCTACTTCCCTTCAAAAATATACTTAAAAAAATAAAACAATTAATTTCTTACCTCTCACCAGCTAGTCACTCGGAGATGGACCAAGTGTGGCTGTTCTTTTGAACTGAGATGCTTTGCTGGGTTAGATGTTTGATCAATGCTCTCTGAGGTCTTGTGATGGAGTGTTGGATAACAGCAACTGCATCAGCACTCTGGTCACTGCAACTCTAATTAATTACTCCAGAGCAGATGTAATTAAGAAGAACTGTGCCTAACTGATGGGTTGAGGAGAGCTAAGAGGCTAATCAGGCAGGCTGAAGATACAAAAGGCAAAGGAAGGAAGTGAGAAAGGAGGAAGCAGAAAGAAAGATGGCTAATCTCTTCTTGTTTCAAGAGCTCATGGCTCCCTAAAACTGTAGGGGAGAGGCTATATAGTATATAGGACTGTGTTTACAGTACATCATTTATAGCTGTAGTGCTTTTGGTGAAGATGCTCTAAACATGGGAGAGAGCTCTTCATTAGGCTTAATGACTCCTGTTGACGTAGCACTGTCTACACCAGCGCTTAGGTCCATATAGATTATGTCACTTGGGGTTATTTACACCGTAGAATGACATAAGTTATACCAAAGTAATGTGTGTTCCAGACCTAGTCAAAGGGTCATGGAAACTAATATTGAAAATAAACTGCATTAGGTGTTTTATCAGCAAAAAAGGTCTCTGAGCTGTTTGTGGACTTGAGTAGAGGTAGGAGCA